GTGATTTACAGCCTTTTGGTTTTTCGCCTACCTTGTAGCAACTCGTCACAACTCTTCGGCATTGGCGGTAGGCATTGGTAAGAAGGGGTTAAGAGGATGTGTGTGGGGGGAGGAACGCCATCACCTCCCCCCAGTGAGCGAAGGGTGGTCCGTTAAAGGACTCCGGGGGGCGTGGCCCTGTCCGAAGCCTATGGAGGTGAGGGCCAAAGGCACGCCCCAGAGCGGTGACCCGGGGGAGCTCCTAGTCGACGTGCCTCGGCGGGAGACTCCCCCGATTAGTGTTAACCCTTCCCCGTGTCTCCAGCAAATGGGCTGGAGCCGGATAGTCGATAGGACCAATGCCTAAGCCAATGCCTCTCATTCCTGAATTCAATAAAGTTGTGGCCTAATTCGCCCAATTAACCTTAATTATGGTGTCTCGTGTGTTTATTTATCTTGGTGGGGGGCGGGAACTCGCCACGCAAATATATGTACTGGCTCACTGGGAAAACTTCAGAAATTCCTATAGACATGTGAGCTCAGCTCCTCAGCAGCCCCTCTGCCTGAGTGATACTTCTTGGCATCCTGATACCTGAGTGCCAGACAGGTAGCCATTCCAGAAATAACAAACCCAGATGAAGACAAAAGGGTGGGATTAACTTGGCTGGGAAACAGGGAAATGTAAATGTCTCTTTTGTTCCACTTGATGGGTGTTTGGTGGAGGGCAAGGGGAACCATGGGGCATGGTCCAGGAGGTTCAGATTCCTGCCACAAGACCTCCCCTTTCATGATGTAACCATGATGTATTAGTGATGTAGTTTGGGGGGGGGGCGTAACATGGGGATTAGCAGCTAATAAAAGTTTGGGGGCTCTTTTGTTCAGGGCTTCCACCTTGTTCCACCTTGTGGCAGGTGGGAGTCCTGTCGCGACAGTCTTCAATCAAGACCAAGCCTACTGGCTGCTGTTTTGCTCTGGTATTCCTGGCTGGGGTCCTTGTTTTTTGTCCAAGGGAGCCCTCAGATTTCTCTGTTAACACTTTAAAGGATTCTCTGGCACCTCTCCTTAGGACGGACAGAACTTGGCAGAAGACCTAGGGACTCCTTCCGATCTCCTGGGAACAGAGATGGATGAGCAAGACTCAGCTGGCCCTGAAGCAGGAAGAGGCCATGCCATGGAAACTGGGAGCAGTGGGGGATTCTGGGAAAACTCTGTGAAGAAGGAACTGGGTGAGGAGGACACCCCTTGCTCAGAGGTGCAGAGCCAGCAGCTCAGGCAGTTCTGCTACCAGGAGGCCAAAGGACCCCGAGAGGTTTGCAGCCAACTCTACCATCTTGACCATCAGTGGCTGAAGCCAGAAAGGCACACGAAAGCTGAGATGCTGGACCTGGTGATCTTGGAGCAGTTCCTGGCTGTCCTTCCTCTGGAGATGGAGAACTGGGTGAGGGAATGCGGAGCGGAGACCAGTTCCCAGGCGGTGGCCCTGGCCGAAGGTTTCCTCCTGAGTCAGGCAGAGGAGAGGAAGCAGGCAGAGCAGCAGGTGAGAGAGACTTTCCTCTGGATACTCCCAAGGGGCTCCAAAGAGGAGGGAGAGTATTCCCAAATCATTTCCTAATGGCCCATCCTTTTTTGGAAAGCATCCAATGAATGATATCCGACAGCCCTAAATTGTTTGTGTCCTAAGTCATTCCATTTCTAATCTACTTTTTTTGAATCCTTGTTGCTCTTTCAGGGGAAGGATCTGTTAGCAGAAATGGGTCCAGATTCCTCTGAGGCAGAGAAGACTCCCTTGGACTCCAGAGAGAGGCCTCTGGGTAAGGAGGAAGGAGTTTTTTCTCTGTCTGGTAACAAGCTGTGGATTTTGAAACTAATCTGTGATTTCTTTTCATCTTATTGGAGAATTCACAGGGGCCAAGAGCCTAGAGAAAGAGAGATGTGCTTTTGCACAACTAGTATGTGAAATGGGTAGAAATGTCCACATTTAGGTGGCAACTCCTACTTGTTTGAAGGCGCACCTGTAGTTTTCCTTCGGAGTGAAGCATGCGCTCTTGGCTTCCAACTTACCTTCTTCTCTCGCAGGAGACGGAACGAGGCCAGCAAGACCTGCTTGTCCATCTTTTTTTGGTGGCGGAGGGGAAGCTGCCCCTGTGGACCCAGAGCAGGTAGGAGGAAGGGGCCATGTGGGGAGAGAGGATGTCATGGACTGGTGGGCACAGAGGAATGGTGGGAGGAACCGCCAAGGAAGGAGGGTTGAAGGCTCAAATAGGCTTCTAAGCAGTTCACACACCATACCAAAGAGTGGCCAGGATTCACCCCATCAGTCCCACAATGGGGCTTTCCCCCTCTCATTCCCTTGCACACCTTGCAGATGTCTATAGGGCTTCAGGAGGGTCCTCCCCACCCGGCAAGAACAGCACAGAGGGACAGAAGAAAGGGGACCCTTCCATGTGGCAAATGGGAATGTGCACATGATCTGAAGAATGATTTGAAGAACACCATGTTCTTTTTTCATAATTTTTTTCCATTTTCTAATTAAAACACATTCATATTAGTAGCAAATCAAACCAAATCTTTCCACGTTCAAAAACAAAAAATAAATAAATAGCCAATTATATAATCCAAATTAATTAATTTCAATGGCACTTCCTGTGTTCTGGATTTCAAAAGCTAAATATCGATCCTTTATCTTTCTGCTATCTTCTCTATTACTTCACAGTTTTCCAATCCTGATATTAACAATCTTCTTTCTCTATCAGTCAGTCGTTGGTATAACTCACTATCTTGTTTTATTTTACCATTCCTTATTTCTGTAATCACGCAGGGGGCTTTTCCCACATTGTTCTTAGTTTTAATATTTTGAAGCACAGTCCACTTGGATGGGCCCTTCTTTTTCTGCTGATTGTTGTTCTAATAGGCTCTGGGCTTCCATCCAAGGTTGAAATTAATTAGCGACTTCTCACTGTCTTTGATGTTTCAAATGTACTGTCAAGGTGTACTGACTTACTGTCAATCAGTAAGTCACACAAAGATTGTTTCGGTTTCCTTATAAAAACCCATTCCAGCTCTCGTACAGCTGGCAGGCATCCAGAGTTCACCACCACTCTTTTCTCAAACTGTAATCTTCCATGCAAACAAATGCATCCTCTGTAAAGTACACCCCTTTTGCAATTCCAATAAAAAACATCTCCAATCTGCCCCCATTGGAGGAGGCTTTTTCTGATCATATCTGTCAGAGCTGCCTCCAGGTCCCAGCTCACAGAGGACCAACGCTAGCCGGTAGTAATGTACAAAAGTCTTTATTGAAGTACAGTTTCCATTTTCAAGCCGCAGCGCGCAGCTCTACGTCTTAGAAGCTAGACCGGCGAAGCTCCATCTGAGTCTCCACCCCCTGTACACCAGTTTAAGACTCTAACCTTACTCCACCTCTTCCGTCTCTCCTTTCTCCTCTGGGTCCTTCTGCCCCCCGGGGTCCCCTCCTTTCTGGACTCTTCTGACGCTGACGCTGACCCCCCTGACTCCTCCCCCTCTTTTCGGCGGGCTTTGGGACCTGGCTCCCTATCCGGGCTGCCAACTGCGCCGCCCTCCTGTACATTTGAACTTGGTGCGCGCGCCCAGCTTTCGACCTTCCTCTTGACCGTTTCCTCGCTCCCCGATGGAGGCGTGGCCAATCCTGACTCATCTCCTCCCGCTGGCGGTGAGCCGCCTGCTCCCGATACCTGGGACTCCTCCCCCCTACTGCGCTCTGGTGGGGAAGCTGGTCCTGATTTCCAACTGCTGCTCTCTGAGTCACCTCTGGCCCCTTCTTCCTGGGGTGTCCCCCTAGGCACCCCCCTTGCTCTCACCATGGGAGCCCCTTTCTGTGAATCTTCCGATTCGCTGGAGAGACTCAGAGACCTCGGGCCGCTGTCATCGCTAACATTTCCTTCGGATTCCTCCCCCTCGCTCTCTATTTCCTCCCTTTCCTGTGCCTCTGCTCCTGAGCCCCTGACAATATCCTTTTTCTTACTGCATCAGAGCTTTTACCATTGCCATCTTCCTCCTTAGCCTGAGCTGTTATGATCATATCTGATCTTCCTCTGCCAGTTTTGATCAGGACTCTCTGCCAAGGACTGCGATGAGTCAATAAGTCCAATGATTTTACTCCTCCGGCGTTTCCTTCGAGGAATTAATTCTTTCTTGGTGGGGTTCACCTCATTGGCAGCCACTCACCTCATTCATCAAAATGGCATGAAAGGAGTCTTTTTTGAAGTCTGTAACTCCAATGACTGTGTAGTTTAGCAGATTTTTCTTTTAACTCTTTCCTTCCAGAACAGGACTGTTTTTTGCCAAATCTTTTAATTTTAGGGAAACGGACTCCTAGCTGACAAGAGTTGCCAAATTTGTGCCTTGGACATAACCCAGAGTCCCTGCCTCCACAGCTGCTCTGGGCGCAAACAATGAAACGCCATTCAGTGAGGTTTATGTGCTGAGAATAAGGAAGTGCTGCCTCACCTTCTGAAGGTCACTAATTTTTTTTATCAACTGTTGCAGTTTTATTTCTAGACTGAATGCTAAAATAGACATCTAAGCAGTTTGCGCACTATACCAAACAGTGGCCAGGCTTCACGTCCTCATTCACACAATGGGGCTTTCCTCCTCTCTCCTCACATGCCCCCCTGTGACCTTGAAGTTTGCCGGGGGGGGCACCTGGAGGTCTCTCTCTCCCCGCACCTCCCAGAACCAAAAACAGGGAGAGGAGAGGAGAGATCCTTCCATGTGGCAAACAGGAAAACCATGATCTGGAGAAGACCAGGTTCTTTATGTTCATCATTGAAATAAACAATAAGAGGATTCCATTAAGACATTAACATATGCACCCATAATCAAAATGTGCAGCAAAACAAACCCATTAAAACAGAACAGCAATTAAAAGGGAGAAAACAACAGAGTGTAACAGATCACCTTTATTAGGTCTAAGAGGACAGCCTTTTTCTTTTTCTGTTAGGGTCCAGTGTGCTTTGAAGATGTAGCTGTCCATTTCACAGACGAGGAGTGGGCGTTGCTGGATCCTGACCAGAGAGCTCTCCATAAGGAAGTCATGGAGGAGAATCGTGGGATCTTGGACTCACTCGTTAAGGCTCCCTATTGGATCATCTTATCTGCTTTGTAATTCAATCTCTCTAGGTGACAAACCTCTGATATTTCGATGGGACTCAACACCACCACCCACAGCACCTGGGATGCTAACATTCCCACAGCAAACCTTGGATGGATGGCTATTGATTGTTTCCCCTGTGAATACACTTCCTTCTATTCTGCCTTTGTGAAACATGGACAGGCTCCTCTGAACTGGCCAGGCCTTCTTAAATGTAGGCTTCAGATTGGTTTGGGAAGTAGAAGTGGGTTCTGTCAGGGTTTTTGCATCTGAAGAAGTGTGCATGCACACGAAAGCTCATACCAAGAACTAACTTAGTTGGTCTTTAAGGTGCTACTGGAAGGAATTTTATTTGTTTTGACTAAAAGCAGTTTGTTTACAGCATTCTAGCCATTATCACGGAACCTTGTACAAATGTGTCTGTCCCGGACGAAAACGAAACTAGAGCAGAACAAAGAACTTGAGACTCTCGGAAGTGATGCAGAGTCTCTCTCTGTCCCACAGTAGGCAGAAGTCACACTCTGAGCTGCTTAACCCTGTGATGTCAAGGACATCTAGGACTGCACAAATATTAGAAGACTGAAGGCAGCCCTGTATCAGGAAGTTTTTAATTCTTGATGTTTTACTATGCTTTTATACATGCTCTAAGCCGCCCAGAGTGACTGGGGAAAGCCAGCCAGATGGGTGGGGTATAAATAATAACGTTACTATTACTACTATTAGTATATAATTCCCTTCAGTTCTTTCTCTGTCACAAGCATTAATTGGCATTACTCTGTTAGTTGGGGCTGCATTTATTCCTGAGGCTCTAATCTGTTTGTCGCTCAGTTGCAGGTGGTGATGAATTGGAAATGAAGAGTGAGGGAGACCACAACGAAATCCACAGAGTGGAGGAGCCAAATCAGGATTCAGACTGTGGAGAGAGCTTCAGTCAGAGCTCCCATTCCACTTCCCATCACATAATTTAGCAAATATATAATTAATCATATGGGTTTATGCTATAATATCAGTAAACTTTTAGAGTGATAACTTTTTTTTTTACAGACGGTATGTCGGCTATGTTTAATATGTTTAATATGGGCAGCGCTCAGTGGTAAACATTGGAGATACATTACTGACAGTTCCTTCATCTCTGTATTTTCTTGCAGAAAACCTCCCCCTTTCTACATACAAGGATGATAAAGCAGAGAAGACTAGCATATAGGATTCCTTTTAAACTAGAGGTAGTAAAATATGCTAAAGAGCATGGAAACAGAGCAGCAGAGAGACATTTTGGGCCACCTCCAACTGAAAAAATGATAAGAGGTTGGAGGAAACAGGAGGATCAGCTGCAAAAAGCAGATAAATGCAAGCACACTTTTCGTGGACATGCTGCAAAGTGGCCACAGTTGGACGTGGCCATGAAAGAATGGATCACATATCACCAGAATAATGGCTTCCCAGTCTCTACAAAAATGATAATATGTGAAGCCAAACGCATTGCTGTAGGGAAAGGCATTCACGATTTTACTGGATCACCATCATGGTGCTACAGATTTATGAAGCGATGTGGCCTTGCTATGCGCACTAAAACTAGAATTGCACAAAAAATGCCAGAAGAATATGAATCTAAGATTCTGTCTTTTCATAAATTTGTAATTGATGCTAGGAAGAAAAATGGGTTTGAAAATGGCCAGATTGGGAATATGGATGAAGTCCCACTACCATCTAATAGGGCTGTTGATCTGAAAGGTGCCAAAACTATCGCTGTGAAAACCTCCAGACAGGAGAAAACCCATTACATGGTTGTGTTGTCTTGCTGTGCAGACGGCACCAAATTGCCACCCATGCTAATTTTCAAAAGGAAAACATTTCCAAAAGAAGTGATTCGAAGAGGAGTTGTTGTACATGTTCATGAGAAAGGATTGATGGACGAAAATGGAATGAGAGTATGGGTTGAAAAAGTGTGGTCCAAACGTCCTGGAGGGCTTTTGAAAAAACCTGCCTTATTAGTACTTGACCAGTTTAGAGCCCGTATTAGCAAAACAAAAAAGTGCTTTGAAGAAGCGAAGACTTGGAGGTCTTACCAGCCGATTGCAACCTCTCGGCGGTTCCATCAACAAGCCATTTAAGGTCTTTATGCGAGAAGAGTGGAACAAATGGATGGCTGCTGGTAATCATGTTCTGAAACCTACTGGACGAATGAAGATTCCCACTATCACTCAAGTTTGTGAATGGGTGAAAACATCATGGCACTCGGTGAAGGAGGAAATCGTTGCACAGTCATTCAAAAAATGTGGCATTAGCAATGCTTTGGATGGAAGCGAAGATGGTATTTTATATGAAGATAGCGAAGAAAGTGATGTTGGTGGTTATGAGCAACTGAGCTTCCTAAATTCTGACTCTAGCAATGATGAGTTCTTGGGGTTCACAGAAGACTAGAAGAGTTCTCAAACCTTAAAGTCTCTCTTCATTTTTTAATGACCGTTATGATAGTTCTTAATGCCACTGTTGACTGCTGTTCACTTTACATTGCTGAAATATTATTCTGATATACTTTCCTCCTCTAAAAACTAGGTACGTCTTATGAAGTGAAAAATACGGTAAGTGTCCATCAAATAATTCATACAGGGGGAGAAGCCATATTAGTGTTTGGAATGTGGAAAGAGCTTGAGTAAGAGTGGCAATCTCATGGCCCATCAAAGAATTTATACAGGAAAGAAACCCTATCAGTGCCAAGAGTGTGGATAGAGTTTCAGTCAAAAGGGCAGTTTCACTTCTCAGCAAATTCATTCAGGAGAAAAACCCTACCAGTGCTTGGAATGTGGAAAGGGCTTCAGTCACAGCCACCAGCTAAGTGTCCCATCAAATAGTTCATACAGGGGAGAAGCCATATCAGTGCTTGTAACATGGAAAGAGATTCACTGAGAAGCCTAAACTTGTTATCCACCAAAGAATTCACACTGGGGGGGGGGAGATTTCAGTGCAGAAAGAGCTTCAGTCACGGGCACTGGCAGAGGAACGGGCTTGTGGGGGGAGCAGGCCGCCCCCGGCACCACTATTCCGGTAGGGTGCCATTGCAACACCCCCCCCCCCAGAATGCAGGAGACAGGGAGGGCAGTCTCTCTCTAACTGGCCAGGATGTCAAAAAGAACTACTGCTGCTGCCGCCCCATTCATATGCTCTCCTCTCGCGTGCTTGCCTGTCGTGGGGCCCCGGGGAGGGGAGCGTATCAATGGGGCAGCGGTGGCAATATTCCTTTTGGCCATGATCCTCACCAGTTAGAGGGAGACTGCTCTCCCCACTCCAGAGAAACAGGGCGGGGGGGGGCACAGGCTCAACGTGCTGGCCATCATTTCCCTTTCCCCCTGCAATGCACTTATAAACAACAGCCGCCAAACCTAGAAGCACTTTGCACAAGGCGTTCTGCTGGGGTCTCCTGGTTTGTTTCGTTAAAAAAACAAAGCGCTCACTTTAAGAAACGGAGTCTCCGTCTGTCCGTAGTCCTGGATAATCCTTGGCACGGGAAGGTATTTCTTGCCATTGAGAATTGCCGCCTGCCCCCCTGCCTTCTCTGTCTGCTCCTCAAGGTGACAACCGGCCAATAATTTCTTTCAGCTGGTGGGGTTACAGGCAGCCCCACCCAGAGGAAGGGGAGCACATTCCTGGAACCAACCAGCGGCGGCTGCAGCGTGAAAAGAGCAGCAAATAAACACTACTTTTTATAAATAATGATAATATCTACAACAGCTTCCCTACAGTCTCCTGCCCCCAACTCGCTGGTGCTGAATGAGCCTCGGATTGAGGAAGTTGGCTCCATCTCGCCCAGTCTTGGATCATCTCCAGAGTATGGTTCCATTTTGATGTTTAGTTTTTGTTCTTGATATTTTTTGTTGTTTACGATGGTTGTGAGACGACATATAATAGCATGGCCCGTGCTAGGTTACTACATTTGTAGATTTGTATTCATAGACCTGCTGAAAATGTGGAGAATGTGTAATGCATGTTTGCACTCAATAAAGTGTTTGAAAATAAACTTGCATTTAGATGCATTTTACTTTAATTACATCAGTATTTTCATAACAAACAATACATGTGCTTAGGGGGTAAGGGTTTCTTTAACTAATCTAGTGGAAGAGACTCGAGTGCTAAAATCTACGGGTTAGGGGGCGCAAATTACTTGCCTTGCCCCGGGTGCTGACAACCCATGCTACGCCACTGTCCTCGCACCCCAGAATTTTCCATCTCAGAATCCAGAGCCCGCAGGCCCAGAGAGTCAACAACCAGCTGCACAGCCTTCCTCAGCCCAAGGGTCAGTCAGTAGTGGTACGTGCTACACTTTAATCAGTGGAAGGCCGCATGGAGCAGATAAGACTACGCAAGCAAGCTCTCCCAAGTCTCTTCCATTCCTTCCCTCGTCCTTGGCTTGAACAGAGCAAGGCAAGCACACATGACTGGCACTGGCCTCACCCCTCCCAGGCAGAGAAGTCTATCTTTCACACTGCACAGAGCCCTGTTGGTGCACTGCAGATTGCCCACAGTCAGAGAGAGGCCTTGGGGATCAGGGAAGGGATCCTCGGAGGGATCCAGAACTACCTGCAGAAGGCAGGAGGCCAGGCTGCAGGTTGGTAACTGGACCTCATCCTGACTCTGACGTTAAAGGGAAGGGGGAGACCAGGCTCCAAGCTAACAAACTTTTGCAGAAAATGGAAGAATTGGAATCTGTGTTTATGCTGCGTTTTTGGACCTGTGTGCTAGGTTATTTTCACAAGGTCAGCAAAGCCCTTAAAAAATCAGGCCTGTTATTGAGCTCTTGTGCAAGTTTGTACAGTTCACCTCTGGATTTTTTAAGGAAAATTAGAGATTTTGATGAGCTTGAGAAACAAGCAAAAGCCACCTTGCCAAATGTTAACTGCAAAACAAGGAGACAAAGAGTTAGGGAACGGTAAAGAAATGACTGAAGTTCACCTGATGCCTTAGGCTTAGATGCACTTTCTTCAAGAGAGAGGTTTAGGATAAAATCCCTTATTCCTATATTAGATGCACTTGAAGCCAATTTAAAAAGAAGTAGTGTGTATAGTGATACTGCACAATTGTTTGCCATTCTTGCTAATTTGACAGCATCTCAGCAAGAAATTCAGCAAGGTGTTGAACTGTTGATGGAAGCATCCCCAGAAGATCTGGACCTGAAACCTATTGATGATCTTTTGCACTTTCACCTGTTCATGAGACAAAGCCATAGGCTTACAGCAGAGCACTCTCTGTCTCATACAGACCTTTATCAAATTATATACAAGGAAAAAATTCAGATGGCCTTTCCTAATGTGGAAGCAATCTTGTGGCTATTTCTTTGCCTTATGGTCACTAACTGCTCAGGAGAGAGGAGTTTTTCAAGACTCAAAAGAATTAAAAATGAATTAAGGGCCACAATGTCTCAAGATGTTGTCCACACTGAGCATTCTGTACATTGAAAGTGACAAACTTAGACAAACAAATTTTGATGAAGTTTTGGATGATTTTGCTATGAGGAAGGCTAGGGGGGAAACATTTTAGCCTTACTGTATTTGATGGTTGTAGTTTACTTCTTAATATGTATTTTAAAACTGACTTGTTAAAGACAACATAAAGTAGATTCTAAAAGTACCACACTGTCAGGTAATCATGGTCATATTATTTACACTTCCCAGGCAATATAATTTGTAAACTCAAGGTGGTGTTTTTTTTAAGAATAACATTACAACTTCATTTTCCTAAAAATTAATGCTTATTCCACAAAAGGTTTACAAAGTTCGGTTATTGCAAAAAGTTTTTCAGTGTTAATGTTATGCATTTTTTAAAATCACCATGGAATTGAACAATGACGTCTTATCTCCTTTAGAGGAGAAATTGTGAATTGCAGAATTTTCAATCCCGTCATCATCCTTGGCTTCACTCAATTTTGTTTAACACTCTTCCATTTTCTAGTCCTGAGGGTGGGGGATTGCGAGGGGCCTCACAGGTGAGGGGTTGAAATAAAGAAGGACCGCCCGGAGGACAGCCTTGCAGAGACACTCCTGGCCCCTTGCAGGACAACAAAGCAGCCTTGTTGTGGGGGGGGGGGGCTCAAGCGACTCCTCCGGGCCTTTCACCCCTCGAGCTGTTGGTAGAGCCGGGGACTAAGAGGCCATCCAAACACCCCAAATCCCTTTCACCCACGCAGGACGACGAGCCAGAGTGGCCCCCTCCACATATAAACTCCCCTCCTAGTGATCTGCAGCCAAGAGGCTTGTAAACCCTTCAATGGAGTCCCGAAACCCCTCAATGAAACATCAGGATTTCTCAAAGAACCATCGCTGACCAATGGGCATCGTCCAAAGGTGACAGGCAGCCAATCCGAAGTCAGGAAGCAGCAGCCCCGTCTCTGGAGCGCGCGATCCGCCAGGAGAGCTCGGCTCTTTTGCGCGACGCTTTGAGCGCAAGAAACCGAGAGCAGAAAGCGGGGAAGAAGCGCGCTACAAAATGTAGCAACAGCGGATACAATGTTTCCTCTGCAGATTCAAGACAGAAACAGGAATCCAGGGCTCCCTCCCTCCCTCCCTCCCTCAAGCAGAAGGTCCTTTGCCCTTAGGGGGGAATCCAGCTTCGCCCCAGGAGGCAGCCCACACCCCAGGCAGAAACCCCTCGGGATGCAGAAGTGAATCCGGATCCTTCCAGAGGAGAAGCGCAGGAAGGCCTCGCGACTGGGAGGAGGTGTGAATCCCGTTCCTGCTCTTTGGGGAAGCAGCTCCTTCCAAGGCGGTGGGAGCTGGAATGAGGGGCGGGGGGGGGCACTTTCTCCTTTATGCATGACAACCACTCCTCTTTTGTGACGAGGACATGACGTTTTGTTTTTTTAAAAAAATAATTTTTATTAACAGGCCAATCAAATCACATTAATTCCAAATCACATCAGTTCCAAATTACATAGCCAAATTTTTAAATTTTTATTGGGGGTACCCATGCTTCAAGCTTCGAACAGGATCCAAGAGGTCATGACGCTTTGATGATGGTGGGAGGGATGCATTGTGGGAAAATCCCTTTCACCCCTTGCTGGGGGTTCTTTCTCTTTGTCACCTTTGATCCTTCCACGCAAAAAACAAAGATCAGGTCTACTGACCGCTATTTTCCTTTTTCAGCTTGGCTGGAGTCTCCTTCTTTTGCTGACCGGAGGTCACGGGGGGGGGAGCGGTGTGAGGCCCGTAAACCCGATTATTTTATTTAACCCTGTTGCTCCTGCTTCCCTTTCCAAAGGAGGGAACAGCTGAGAAGCCAGTCCAGAGGGTCACCCACATACGACCCCCCTGGGGGCTGCGATGCCCGGGTCTCCTGCTTTGCAGAGGGAGGGGGGAGGAGCCCGGCTCGCCAAGGGTTAAAAGGAACTGGGCTGGATTCCTAGAGAGGACAGGAAATAAGGGGGGGAAGACGAGGCCCCCTCCCGCCCCCCCCTTTCCTCTCTTCCAGGGGGAGGTTTTCGTCTCCTTTGCAGGAGCTGCGTCGGTGGCACCTTTGGGATCTTGTAAGTCTCCTCTCTCTTCCCCATAGGGCGCAGGGGGGAGAAGGGGGC